ATTTTCCCTCTAATTCCTCAGCCCAGGGCCATTTCCCTCCTCTCCCCTCCCCTGACTTTCTGTCCAGTCCCTGGAGGGGCAGACTCTGGCCTCAGGAGTGATGAGAACCAGGGGGCCTGTCCAGGCTGTGTGGAATTTGAGAACTCACTGCCCCTCTCTGAACTTTGGTGAGGAGAGCAGCCATGGAGTGAAATCAACTAGAGATGACTGGGACTTTTTTCTTCCTCAAAAAGGGATTCTTATCTCTATGAGTCCCATGTGGGATACACTCACACTCTCTCTTTTAAAGAAGTATGACCCAAATTTTAATGGTCAATTTATGGTTTGGTTCAAATTACACTGGCTTGCCTGCGCCTGTAGGGGAAATTCTCAGACTCACCCCCAGGACTAGGAGTTGGCTCTCTCTCAGCCCTCTAGTGAGACAGGGATGATCCCTAATGGCCAGCAGAAAGGGACTTCCTTGAGTTCATGCACATTCTGGATAATTCAGGCTGCATAACCCATCTGGAGGCCTGGATCCACTTTGGAGTGAATTATATGTGCTATCTTCGGAGAATAGCATAAATGGCGTTTCCAGTCTCTCTAGTACAATAAGCACTAATCTGTGAATTTGGGAGGAGTATGCTATCTCTCCAATGCCCTCTTTGAGGCAGGACCATAGACCCTAATATCTGACACAAAAGGTCCTAACAATAGTGAGCCACCAAGGAGAAACTAACCAAATCCCTGGAACCTGAGCTGCCTGCCTCCAGTTGCCTAAGCAGATAGGCAAGGAGTCTGGGAGGTACTTGAATCCCTCCTGAGGCCACTCAGTCCCCACCTCCGCACAGAAGAGGCTCTGGATGCTGCAGCAGAACCACTGGGTGTATTAGGAAGTATGGTAAAGTCTCCTGGCTTCCTCTCACCTTCTCTGTCTCCTGCTTCTTCCCTCTTTTCTTTCCCTCTTTCTCTTCACTCTTTCCCCCTCCCCCTTCCTCTCTCCCACAAAAGCTCTCTGTACACAGCCACTTCCTCTGGCTGCTGTCTCTGAGCCCAGACGTTATGAGAACCATATGGGGGAAGGAGGGTAGACTCGAAGGGGGTGGGAGAAGCCGGCTGGGCCCGCCCCTCCAGCCAGCATCTTTCCATTCTCCTCAGGCTGTAAGCATGGTGGTTGGCATACTTTGCTCCCAGCTACCCTGACTGGACCCCGCCTGGTGACTGAGTTGAGGGGCACTGAGGAGAGGGCCCAGATTGGAGCTTCACATCCAGAATCAGGAAGGTTTTCAACTGAAGGGCAACTTTCCTTCCCTTTGGGTACAGGGACGCAAAAAGAGATCTCCCCTCCCCACCCTGCCCATCTCAGCCCTACCATACTCCTGAAGACCACCAAATTAAGCACAATAAACTAGCCAGTCCTAGGCACATCTGTATTGCAAAAATTCTCTTCTCTCCTAAATAATATGGTTGGCAACTCCTCCCCCATCCCAAATGCTAGCGGCTGAGCCTTTGGAGTGACCAGTCCCTTGTCTGCCTCCTTTCCACTCGAAATGTTCCCAGGTCAAAAGAGCTTGGTTCTTGCTGAGAAGGAACCAGGGTTTCTAAAGCAGTGTCGGTGTCCTTTGAACCTCAAGTCCAGCCAGAATTGCAAGGTCCCTCATATGAGAGGAGGGCACAGACCCAACCAGCTAATCCTGACTCCAGCCTCAACTAGCTGTGTGTTAGTAAAATAATATCCTTTCCTCAGCTTCAGCTGATGGAGCTGAAAGATGCAGGGCTAGACTTGCTTATCTCCAAGGTTCTTTACGTCCTAGGAATTTACAACACTAAGCTGGTAGCCTCTTTAGGGACAGCTCTGATATCCTGGGAGGTCCTCATAGAAGATTTCTTCTTGGAGTTATTTATTATCAGTCCTCTCCTTGAATTCCTTATCCCCCAACCCCCTCATCTAACTCACAGAGCTGAGAGCCTGAGGGCAAGCCCACTAGAAGCGACCCAGTGGTGGGTAGAGGGTTCACTTTGTTCTACTTTTTCCTCCCACACCCAGGTTCTCCCTGTACTAAGCCACCCACGAGAGGGACCTTTCCCCTCAGGGAGGCCCATAAAGGCTTCTGCTCTGTAAGGCACTTTTGAGCCTAGAGCTGTCCTGCCCACCTCACTACAGCTGGGCTGAAACTGGGGTGGGGGGAGGGGTTTGGACAGATGGATCAGGAAGGAAATTAGGAGTTCTGCTTTCCAGGAAAAGGACAAATGAAAATCCGTTAGATAAGAAAAAGCAGCAAAGGCTGGATAAAGGGGATACAGTCTGCAAAAACAAGTCAGAAATTAAAATAATAGGCTGGACTGCAACACTCAGGCCCCTTCTTGAACAAAGTATAGGCTCCTTGCAGATAGAGAACCTTGCATCCAGAACCTTCTTTGCCTGAGCATTTCTCAGCTTCTGTGACTGTCAGACTTCTCCAGATGGAATCCTTAGGCCCCTTGAAGGCCTATATACCAAAGTTTGCAGCAGAGGGCTGCTTGAAGGATGCTGGGACTTGGTGGCTTATTCTGAAGCACTGTATTGGAAAAAAGTAGGCTCCTCAATGAGAATATGGGAGTGAGGCGGGGTAAAACCATAACAAAAAAAATCTACTGGCTCAAGCCCTGTTATTATGACAAACTAAAAGGAGATAAGGAGAATTTGTGTTAAAAAAAACAAACAGAAGAGGGTAAGGGGAGGGGTTTGAGGGGGTAAAGCTGAACATTTACAAGGTTTCCACACTGGGGCATCTTGCTTTTCTGTTATGCTGATGGTGCAGCCCTTTTACAGGCTTTTTTCTTTTTCTCCCCCAAGATGCATGCTAGGGCAAGGGGAGGTGTACTGTACTAGAGGATCTTTGAGATTTATCCCCACTTTTTTTTTTAAATGGAGCCTGTAGGAGAAAAAAACCTAAGCAACAACCTTGATGGCTAGAGATTTTGAGACACTTTAGGCTGATAGGGAAGCAGGATCCTAGGATTCCTTGCCCTCCCTCACCCATTGTCCCCACAGGTAAGTAAGCAAACTCAGAAGTTTCTTCAGAAGGTGGCTTAATCCAGCCAGGTCACTGACCTGGGAGGAAAGGGTAGGAAAGGGGGGCTTCCCACATAAAGAGGATTTAGGATAGAAAGGTGATCTAGGAGTCACGATTGCTGTAACCCTGTCACAATATATTCTCACCCAGATTCGGCCCCATTCTCTCTCTGGAATGGCATGGAAGGGTATTAGCCGTGGCTGGAAAGCATTAGTTGCCAAATCATTCTAAGATGTACTGCAAAACTACCTTTCTATTTCTCCCCTCCTTTCTTCAATATGTTAAGATTCCCTAATTCTGACAAACAGATGCACAGAAAGCTTACCACATATGGGGAAGTATCATATGTGCGTGAGCACAGCCTCAAAGCATGTACACACATAGTACTCACTCCTCTAAGGGCTGACTATCATTGTGCAGTTGAGACTCACATAGACACCAACCCAACTATTCCAGACAGCAAGTATTTCCCCCCTCTAGAACTGAGTGGGCTGGGGAATGTCCAGGCCTGCCTGGACTTTTAAACACTAGTGGACACTCAGAGGGACTGGAATGAGAAGCTCCAGGCGTCCTCTCAGTCATCCTCCCAGGTCTTTGCCTTATCTTTGCAGGCAATTGGGAAGATACATCTTCTCCACTAACCTAAAACACAGAAGCACGAGCGCGCGCGCGCGCACGCACACACACACACACACACACACACACACACACACACACACAGAGGCGAGCACACCCCAGCTGGGGAAAATGCAGGCCAGCGGTCAACGTCAGAGGCTGACCAGTCGCGTCCTGTCAGGAAGCGGGCAGCCTGTGAACTCACCCAACCAGAGGCGGTACTGTATTGTTCTGGACACAATCGGATAGACTGTGAGCCAGCTCCAACTCCAGGGCAAGGGAAGGTGGGGAAAGGTTGCCGTTAAGGTCAGGAGGACAGGGTAAAGGGGTGGATGCTGCTCTTAGGCTTGATCTAATACAGGAAAGGAAGGGGCCGCTGCTAGGCCCAGACCCTTATTCCACAGTTAGTGGAGCACGTGGTCAGCCAGGGCATTGCTGCAATGGGAAGGCGTCACTAATACTCCTTAGGTTTGGGGGACTTCAGACCGTCATTGAGGAGGGTAGGGGTATGGTTATAGGGCACACACACTCCTTGTCTGTAAGGCACTGGCTCGGGTGGGAACCAGAATCAGACGCAGAAAGAGTCCGGGAGGAATTCTGCCATTTGTCTAAGATGCTTCCTTCATGGTCTTTGTACAAAGTCAGTCGAGGAACATCTGAAGCTTGTTTTATATAGAGAGGGGAGGGGTGGGAAAGAAGAGAGAGGAATGCAGGACTCAGCTCAGAGCACACTTGGCAAATGTGAAGGGGGAGCGACGAACCCCAGCCCCTAAAGAACTCAAAGGCCTGAGTCTCATTCCCACAAGGAGCACCCGCATCCCAAAGACTTTTCAAAGCCCACTGTCCCGCCTACTCTACGGGGCACAAGACTGGGAGCGGAGTTGTCAGGCCCCGAGGTCAGGTGAAGCGCCCCCATCTGGAGGGGCCAGGCTCAACGGGTAAAGTTGACAACCTTCCTCTGTGGGTCCCAGGACGCATCCGCTATGATCTTGAGCCCTCTCCTTCTCAGCTCACCTCAGGTCTCAGGGGTCCCCAACATTAGTTCTGGATGGAAACCTTAAGGGACTGGGCACTCCTCCAACACGCATTCCATCTCACCTGTGCAGGTGAGTGGGCGCCGGTGAAGCCCCTCCAAGAAGGAGCAGCTCCCTGGAGAAGCTTCTTTCCTCGACACTCCGCCAGTGCCCATCTCTCCCCCAACTTCCCCAGTCTCCCTCGGGGCGCTTGGCCTGTTGTAGAGTCTCTGAAGTGAAGGCATCTTCCCTTTGCCCCCGTCCTTCCTACTTGCGTCCTTCTCTAGCCGTCTCTCAAGTCTGAGCTACCGGAGGACCAGCCACGTAGGGTACTCACAGGGTAACGGTGCCGTTAGGCAGAAGGCCAGGTTCAGGAGGCTCCGGGAGGTCCCCGCCGCCACACACCACCCTCCTGCGCGCTGGGTTCGGGGCACCGCTGCTTAGCCCTTTGGGCCGCTCCCCGGAGCACTTGCAGCTGAGGATAGGCACCGGGCAGCCCGGCGCGCCCCGGGTCTCGGGCGCCAGGAGCAGTAACCACGGCAGAAGCGCCAGCATCAGCCGCCCGGGCGCGCCCCGCATCCTGCGTCCCCCAGCGCCCATCAGCCCATCGCCCCGCGGGGACAGACAGCGCTGGGGCCAGAGGGACCCGGGCGAGCGGGTGCGTGCTCAGTGGGGACCCGGGGCGACGGAGCGCGGGGCAGGGGGCCCTGGGCAGAGGCAAGCCCTGGGGTCCCCACCGCCGCGCCCCGGGGGCATGTCCGGCGAGAGCCCCGGCGGGGAGGACCCGGGCGCGGCTGTCAGCGCAGCCCTGGCGGTGCCCGGCCGCGCGGCGCAAATCTCAGCGCGGCGCTGGCGGCGGTGTGGCGTCCGGGCCCCTCGGCGGCGTCAGCTCGCTCAGCGCTGCACTGGGACCTAGCGGATCGCGCCGGACTCCTGCTGCCGCCGCCGCTGCTCCGTGCCATGGATGGAGGCAGCACAGCGCCGCGCTGCTCCCGCCGCCGGCAGCCCCCGCCCGCCTTCCCCCGAGTGCGCCCTCCCCTCGCCGCCTCGTGCGTCCGCGAGGCCCTAGCGCCTCCGGATAGATAGCTAGGCTTCTGTCCTTCTAGGGGTGAGAGCCCTCAAGTTTGCTGAGAGCTCAAGTTCCCCGCACCTGCTCAGAACCTAGAGTCCTCTTCCAGCTCGCTTCCCCTGACCCTCTCAAGACTTTTCCTCTCCATAGCCCACCTGAGATCTCTAAGCCAATTGCCTTTGTTGATGATGTTGTTGTTGTTGATATGTGCCTTAACAACAAATAAGCGGGGGACTCATAGCGACCCTATGTAACAGCTCTGAAGCCCGCCCTCTCCTGAAAAGTCTCACTGACTCCGACACACCTAATCCCATTGCCTCAGTTACCATGTCAAGTCACCTCATCAGGGTCTTCCTCTCCTGGGCTTCACCTTTCCAAGCATGTCTTTCTCCAAGGACTGATCCCTCCTAGAAACACGCCCAAACTATGTGAGACAGAGCTTCAAAATCCTTGCCTCCAAGGAGAAACTTGATTTCAACTAGCTACCTTTACTTTGTTCCAAACTCTTTCTTGCTCTTCTGGCTCCCTCCCTAGTCCTTCTGGACATTTTCATTGACCTGTGAACTTGACCAAAGACGCCCCCACATTTTGGCTTGAACTTTATTCACTGCTCTGACACTCCACTTCCTTGGTCCCTGAAATGATGGACCAGTTAGGACGTTGGCACTCACTAGAACAACCCTGCTCTGGACCTCCAAGTGGGGTTGAGGCCACCCTGGAGGGTACAGCAGGGGAAGGAGTCAGCAGACTCTCCTTCACTTCGGGTGACCTCGCTCAGCAGGGCTTGCTTGTCATTCATTCAAAGAGGGGTCAAAGGCCACAACTCTGTGTGTGTATGTGTGTGTTGCCAGATTTTGGACACAGCCTCTAATGCTCTGATATATCTAATCTCTCGTGTCCAAAGGGAGGAGATCCTGCCTGTCTCACAGTATATGAATGTAAATTGTGGCTTAGGAATAAGTGAGTGTGAGAGAGTTGTTAGGTACTGTCAAGCTGATTGGGACTCAGCAAACTCATGTGTGCAGTAGAATCACTTGGCTGTAGTGTTTTCAAGGCTGTGCTGTTCCAGAAGCAGATCTTCAAGCTTATCCTCTGAGGCACCTCTCAATGAGCCCTACCCAACTGTTACCATTTTGGTTAGTGGGAAAGTGCTTAACTTTTTTAAACCAAAGGCACTTGTTTTTCCCAAAACTGGTGAGTTTGGGTGAGATTTGACCTTAACAGCTGAAGATGAAAAATTGCCTGTAATTGCTTAATGGGCTGTATTTTAGGGTAAAGGAGCCCTGATGTCATGATGGTTAAGCTTCTTACAGAGAGGATGTTCAAACCGATGCAGAGGCTCTTTGGGAGAAGATCTGCTCTCATAAAGACTACAGGAATGCCTGAATGTACTTCTACCCTGTCGGATAGGGTTTCTGAATTATTACAATACATGCTAGGAATGGGGCCAGAGACATAGGAAAAGGAGAAGTGAGCCCCAGAGTGTCTGCTTCCTCAGTTTCTCCTCATCCAGAGACTGCCTTTCTATTACTTAATAGAGTCCTGCTGATGGCATGAGCTGCTAAGTTTCCTGTTTTCCGTCTTTCATTATCCTACCTAAATGGCTGGTCCCAAGATGACCACCACTCTTTTTCTGTGATCTTGACCCTGCTGATCAGTATGACTTTTCCAGTTCTGGGGGTGGCCTGTCAGCCAAGTCCCACACTTCCACTTAGCAGAGAATCTCTTCCTTGCCTGTTGGTGGCAGACGTGAGGCCCAGACATCAGCCTCTTCACTTTTCCTTCTCTGGCTCCAGAAATCTCTCCCAGTTGCAGGCTCTGGTTCCTTGAACTTTCAAAGATAAATAAATAGTGATTGCAAACGGAGAAAGAGAGAAGGGGAAAGACTCCCCAGCAGGAGCCCTTGGCAGACAGGCAGGCAGACAAGACCTATCCTCTGCAAAGAGTCTGGGAAGGGGAGTAGAAGTATTGAAGAGCCACAGATCATAAGGAAGAATCTCCTCATCAACCTTCCTGTTCACAGTCAAGGAAAACTCAGAGAGGTAAAACCTCTAGCCTGGATCACACAGCTTCTGTGATTTCCTTTTGCTATGTAAAGACATTTAAGGTCTAGAGAAGAATTCTACTGTAACACCTCAGATTGAGGTGGACTGGAGGTCAAATGACATTTAGCAAACGAAATGCTTTTCTACAGTGAGAATGACATGTTTGATCAAGACATTCATAAAACTCTTGTCAGCCATTATGTTTGGTTCCTGTGTCCACTGAGGGAGGTAAATGGGACAGAGGCTACATTCCCATTTTACAAGTTTTGATGAAGAAACTGAGTCACTGAGCAGTGAAGAGTCTGGAGTCTGGAGATGGACCTCTTCAGACATCTTTTCAGAGTGCACTTTTCTGAGTCATTCACACAGAAAGAGTGAAGAATGAAATGGCTAGGTCAAAATCTTTTGAGTATGTTGTTGTTGTTGTTAGGTGCTGTCGAGTTGAATATGACTTATAGCGACCCTCTGAACAAGCTATCTGAATCCTGTCCTGTGCCATCCTCACAATCTCTGACACACTCAAAACCATTGCTACAGCCATTGTGTCAGGCTACCTGGTTGAGGGTTTCCTCTCTTTCTCTTTTCTTTGATGAGTAGAGGAGGTTTGTTTTGGATGGAAAGATGATTCAGTTGTGTTCCTAACTAGAGAGTTTACAAATATGCACTGGCACTGAAACTGCATGATAAGCTCTTCAATGGAAACAGGTATACATTGCCTTGATAATAAAGATAGAGCTGAGTTAATTCTGACTGGAGCAAGGGAGAAAGGGGATATTTCAGTTACCTAGCTCTCTGGTGGCCTAGTGGTAAGAAGTTATGCTGCAATCCCAGAGGCAAGCAATTCAAATCTACCAGCTGCTCTGTGGGAGAAGAATGGATAATCCCTTCCCTGGAATTTACTGCCTCTGAAAACCTGCTGGAGGGTCAGCTGTGGGCTGACTCGGGAGCACACAACAGCAGCGCCCCACAGTGGATTACCCAATAAGCAAGGTTTACTTGTGCTTACTTACTGTTCACTAATCCATAGTGAACAATTTCGGGGGGGTTTTCCATCACATCAAAGATTCTGTTCTAGGTATGGCATGTCTTTCGCCCCACCCCACAGCATCTTTTTACAGAATAAAAGCCTCTTTTCAAATTCACAGTCCCTGATAGGAACAGAAAACCCAGGAACAAAGGTAAGCACGGGTCTTACTTGTGCTCATGTATTAATCTGTGCTGGATAAATAGAAGAAAGGATGTTTTTATGCTTACTTGCTAATCTGCAGTGAACAGTTTCACATGTTTCTTTTCCACAGGCTAGTGGGCAAGCAAATGCAAATTGGTGCTTATCTTGCCTGCTGGGTAATCTGTGTGTGCATATATACACATTCCTACATATCTATTAGCTGACCTACTCTCTTAGAGTTTACTGCTGGTTTTGGTTTTGGTGAGTTGTTTGTTTTTTTGTTTTAATTACTTGTGGCAGTCAAAATGGTTCTGACCCAGTAGGACAGAGTAGAACTGCCTTGTAGGGTTTCCAAAACAATCTTTACAGAAATACTACCTCATCTTTCTCCTATGGAGTAGCTGGTGGGTTCAAGCTGAGTGTTTAATCATAGTGACACCAGAACTCCTTTCTCCACTCCCTTATTGGCACTTATTTAACTTTTCCTTACGTTCCCATTAGCTTTTCACACATTTGACTCTCCCACTACGTTATAAAGTGGCTCTGGGTGGCTTAGTGTGTAAGGAGTTGTGCCATTAACCCAGAAGCAAATGATTCGAATCTTCCAGCTGCTCTGTGAAAGAAAGATAGACAGTCTCCTCCTGGATGATTTGCAGCCTCTGAAAACCCACTGGAGGGTCAGCTATGGCACATGACAACAGCAAAACTACTTTGCAAATTAACAGAAAAGAGAATTCTCTCACTCATGAATGGCTATGATTGATTCCCTGGCCTGTTATAGTGCTCAACAAATAGCAGAGATATTAATTTGCCTAATGCATTCAGCAAAGTGTTATTGAACTTTTAGTCATTTATTTAAACAGTATTTATTGAGCATTTGCTATGTGCCAGTTACTCTTTGGGACACTGAAGAAATAGCAGCTGTGATTTCATGAAGCTAATGTTACAGCAGAGGGAGATATACAATAAACAAACAAGAAATAGATATGAAATGGTCAACGGGAATAAGATCAACAAACAAAAAGTAAGCTAAAAAACAAACTAAAAACTCAAACTCATTGCCAGCGAGTCAGAACTAACTCATAACTGACCCTTAAGTGGGAAGAGACTGATCCTCTTTCTTCCACAGAGTTGTTGGTGGATTCTAGCTGACAGAAAGGTACAGTGTGGGGTTAACATTGCAACTCTCTATAGACTAGGACTCTTCTCCAGCACCACAACTCAAAGGCATTGATTCTTCTTTTATCATCCTTAGTTATTGTCCAACTCTATGATGCATAGCAAGTAATTGCAAAAACCGTGGCCTAGATCAAGCACATCTTAGT